TTAAAACTGTAAAAAAATATATTGATTTACTAAATGGGGCTCTATTTGTGAAATACACATATGTGTTTAATCTTTCTCTTTTAAAATTACGGCGCACAAAATATCAAGAAAGAGGTTTTGTTTTTATATGTCTGTCTAGGGGGGCGCTAGAGATTCACTGGAGGGCCTAAAGAGGCCAATGGAGGGCCAACCTGAAAAAGTTTGGTAACCACTGAAATAAGCCATCATTTATTATGCCTAGTTTACAGTCAAATAATCTGCTTTTGAATAGTTATTACCCAAAATATTGCTACATGAATGTTTATTTAGTTTAAATTTTAATTATCAAATAAATTGCCGAAACTAGTCCGTAATGATCATGCATTTTAATAACGTTAAAATCCATTTTTTAATAATAATAACGATAAATGCAATCGATTTAAAACCAAAATTAGATTCACATGAATTTATTTCGAGCATTAAACATGATACCGAACGTCATATTTAAGTTACCAAAAGAACGCAGCAGTGATCAACAGTAGACTTTTCCCGATTACGATCTTTCTTCTTCCAGTGCTTCTATACCATATACCTCCTGAATTTACAGTCACTTAAATACGTAATTTCTGTCCGCAGACGCCAAGAGCGAGCGTTAGACCACGAAGACAACCGTCGGGAACATTTCCTACAAACTACACGCGGGACCGCGCTGCGACGAAGCATTGAACGCTGGACCTTCTCGCATTTCTCTGAACGCGACTGCGATCACATGCACAACTTGAGCAGCAAGAAACAGGGAGCGGTGCCCCGGCCTAAGAAACACGGCGGGATAAGCGACCGACGACCCGGTGTTGCTGACGGGAAAACAGGGCTACTCTTCGCTTGTAAACATATCTTAATTTGTGCAGGATATAAGTGACAGAGATGTGGACGCCGACCTCCGATCGAGAATTTCAAAGCTCCTGCGTGCACCAACAGACGCTGATGAAAAAACCAATACTCGCGCTCAGGACCAAAGTACCGATTTAGAATGTAAAAAACACACGATAGAAGAAGACGAAAATGAGCAAGATAGTTCTTCTTCTCCCGATGTTGATGATTTTGAGCTAAGTTGTTCAAGCGCGATAGTTGAAGGGAAAAATCCATACCTGAATTTTTTGAAGCACAGAGCGCGCCGGGAAGCGGTAACCATTAATGACGTGACTTCTGGTCACGAGGTTGTTTCTCCAAACGTGGGTGATGAAGATGATGAAGAAGATGAAAAAATTGACGATGGAGATGAAGAAACAAATTGCGTGAAGCAACAACCCTGCATAGAGAAGCATTCATCAACTTCTTCCCAAGATACTCGTACTGAAATCTCGGAAGCTGAACTCGGCAATAACGGAAATGCCACAGAGAAAACAGATGCAGCGCTAGACAGCGTTCCTGATGAAGTTAAAGACAAGGAACTTGTCCCTAGCACCAAATTTATTACAGGTAATAGAATATGCAAGAATGATCCTCAAGGAAGCGTTGCGTCAGTGAAAAGAAGGAAAAGGTCGAAAAAGACGCCCATTGCTAAAGCCACCAAGCATGAAGATGGATGCCAAGAAGAAAGTGTTGCTTTAGAAGACAGTGTTGTACTGAGACTCTTCAAAGAATACTTGATTTCGGAGAGACCAGAAAATTCGAAAGATCTTCTGACAAACTTGATTCTTAACTCCTCATTCCATCCGGAATAAATTATGTTTGTCGTTGCAATTAAGAACTGGACTTGGGAGAAAAATTGTGTGTAGAATTTTATTTTTCCGTACATTGCTTGACTGTTTACAGTCAGATTAAAATTATTGTAATGGTTCCAAGACTACGGTGAAACTACATACAACACTTCAGATTTCATTTATTGTAAAATCCGTTTTGTGTTCCTCTCGAGAGTTTTTTTTGGCTTTTACCAAAGACAAAGTTTAATGTTGAATTTAAGATAGTATTATTCCAGGCGTAGCTTGTTTTATTATCATTATCATAGTTATCTATAAAAAAAAACAAGAATAATTTATCTATCATGAAACTACATTGAAATCAATTGTGATAAAATTATGTGAAGGTATTCTTAATTCAATACTGCATGACAGTTGACTATGCAACGAATCTGATCATTTGAATCAATAGCTTCAATTTATTAAGTTGAAAAAAAAGATATACTTAAAATTAAATAAATGAAAATGCATATTATTTTTCAAAATGTTAGAATGTAGTTTTGCGCGTCGTTAACGGGAGATTTGGCCATCGAATGTTTTTTTTTGTGAACGGAAATTAAGATTGTTTGTGTTTCAAATACCAAGAATGTTAAATTAAGTTTCGGAATGTTGATTAACTAACTAAAAATTTTTTTAATTAATTCGGAATGTTGACCGCAGTATCTCAGATACAGAAACCTCGAGTTGATAGGTATGTGTCACTACTTCTACTGATATTCAATAAACGTGCTAACCTAAAAAAGTATTTGATGTATTCTATTTGCATTCATAACATGCTAGTTCAATCAATTAGAAGCAGGGTTTGCTATACATTCTAACTAAATCAAGCTTAATCCGTCTACATTCTAACTAAATCAAGCTTAATCCGTCTACATTCTAACTAAATCAAGCTTAATCCGTCTAAAGTTCTAATTAATTCATCAGTCTACAGTTCTAATTAATTCAAGCTTAATTCGTTCATAAGTCAAGCTTGGTCTCATTCAAATGAGCAATATAATTTTCAATTGAACGTAACTATCTCATTACGATTATTTGCTCAGTACGTACACGACGATATATATAAAATGTATATTATCGATCCCACAATATTTAATGAAATAAATTGTACGTTCCTCAAACAGCAGGTAAAAGAACACCGTTTCAAATATTTCATTGAATGAGGTACTTTATTCGAGTTTCTCATATTTCGAAGTAATAAGCATTAAGACTAATATGCGATTTACTCAAATACCTCTCAAAGTATTCGATCAAGGCATTCGACTACAGTTAAGTGAAATATTTATATTACTGTTATATAATGTCTTAAAAGTTAAATCGTAAACCAAATGAATATTAATTGCAAAAAAAATATGAAGAAAAGTAGTCACATTTTTAGCCGAACAAGTTTCGGGACTCTTAACTCCATCATCAGTTCAAACTTATGGATTTGAACAGATAATGAAACTCTTCTCTAAATAATTTTCAGTGAAAATATAACTTATTTTTTTTAGCGTTTTGTTGTCGATGAATAATCAGTCAGTTTGTGATATATTTATTTTTACAGTCATGAAAAGCTGGACAATATTTCATTGGTATTATGCTGTTTCAGGGGCTAGATCGAAGAGCAGAATCTCAGCGTGTTCACCAATATAGTGCAATTTTGTTAACAGGTGTGCCTCTATAATTACACTATATCGAAATATCGTTTTATTGTTCAATTGTAATTTCTAACGTATTAACAATATTGTAGGAATATTAATATATTAGCGAGATTATCATGATCTCACCTGAGATCTTGAAACTTAAATTAAATCTGAAACGTTTACTTGCCTCTGTTCCCTAATTTTTTTTCCAAAGGGTTTCAACGATCACTTCTAATCAGGAGTTAACTATGAATTTCAAAAGTCAAAATATACTGTTATTATTACATCATACCAGATCAGGTTTCGTTTTTCAGTTAATATGATTCAAATGAAAGAAGCAAATAAGTACCAATAGCATTCTTTGTTTTGCCCCGCAGCCAATCAGTATCAGAGGTCCGGCTATTCATACATGACCAATAGAGAAGCGATGTGAGAGGCTGTGGGTGTTCACGCATTGCTGTTCTTTACTGCTTGTCCAGAAGCGGTCCGTTGTAGTGAGACGGGTTCTGCTCTCTATTGCATCGTGTTTATTATATATTTAGGAACTACCCAGTGAAAATTTACAGACGCGGCAGCTTCTGATTTGGATTACCAGAAGCTGGGGCGACTCTAAATTTTGTTACCCAGTGAAAATTTACAGACGCTGCAGCTTCTGATTTGGATTACCAGAAGCTGGGGCGACTCTAAATTTTGTTACCCAGTGAAAATTTACAGACGCTGCAGCTTCTGATTTGGATTACCAGAAGCTGGGGCGACTCTAAATTTTGTTACCCAGTGAAAATTTACAGACGCTGCAGCTTCTGATTTGGATTACCAGAAGCTGGGGCGACTCTAAATTTTGTTACCCAGTGAAAATTTACAGACGCGGCAGCTTCTGATTTGGATTACCAGAAGCTGGGGCGACTCTAAATTTTTTTATGGTTCCCAGCGAAAATTTACAGACGTGGCAGCTTCTGATTTGAATTACCAGAAGCTGGAGCGACTCTAAATTTTGTTAGGGTAATTTCCTGAAGGATGCGTAATATTTTCATGGATTGGTGTTCTTTATGAAATGTCTGATAATTTTTAGAACTAATGTTCTATGTTGAACTTTCTTGTCTGAAATGACGGTTTTTTCGGATTTAAGTCATTAAAAATTAAAGAAAAATAGCCTTGCTCATAGAAAAAAAACCTTGCTTTATATTTTAAAAATTAGCACAAATTGTGTAATTTTAAGAAGAAATATTGCCTGCATTTCGTATAACTTCAACATTTACTCTCAGTAACGCTAACATAAGAAATGTTTCAGCTTATCTCAATTTCTACGATACCAGAATAGCCCTTAAAACGATTTAGTTCGAAAATATCTTCTTCGTATTTTAATAAATTTATATTTTATAACAAAGATCACTTGTGCGAATGGCAGCGATTTAGAGTTCAAAATTTCAAACTCCCCGAGTGAAATTATTTCAGGGTTGTTTCTGAACCAAATTTGTCAAAGTTTTCTTACCTTTCTTTCCTTGAATCGGAACAATAATTCTGTATAATTTCACAAAATTTTACAGCATTCTAAAAATAACATAATAATATTAATTTAAAATTCAAAATTTGAGATCCGTGACATATGAGGGAGGATTGAGAGGGCCAAGTTACGTCGCGCAATCATACCAATAATACCGAATTATTTTCAGACGTGTAAAAGGTTTTATTTTATAAAATTTCACAGATTTCATGGAAATAAGAGTAACGAAACGCCATGGGTCTTCGATTTTTCATCAATGCAGGTACGTAACTTGCAGATAAGCCGGTGCTTTTGAAAAAAGATGTAGCTATTTTTTGTGCAAACGCATGTATGTCTCAATTTACGCATCAATGTTGTTTGCGCGGATTTGAAATTTGAATTTGATTGCGCGTGTTTTGTACATTAATCCGTAATTAAGTTGCCGGGATTTCGCGATTCACGCCCATTTATGTTATCGGAACAGCTTAGTTAATAACTGCATACTAACTACACTTGACTCATAAATTTTGAGCATTTTTGTTTTGCTCGGCGTTGGAATTTAAAAGTACAATTGTATTGTAAAAGCGCACCTATTGGAAAAAAAATTATATATGTTTAAAAATTACCTTTTAAAGACAACACTTCTAAAGAAACCAGTGTCTCCAATGTTAAAAATGTACAATTAATTTCTCATTTTATTTTCGAATATTAAAAAATTTTATTTTCTAATTTTTTAATATATAAATAACTTTTTCAAAATTATTTATTCTGTCAATTGATTCATGCATTGCCTCCGACTTCACACAAGTTTGCAAAAGTTCAGATCAATTGGATAGGTAAAAGTGTGTCAAATATCAGTTATAAGATTTGTAGCTGATAAAATTATTTTTTAAATTTTTTTAATATTGAAAAAATTGTTTTTAATATTTTTAAAATCTTTTATTTTGTCATTTGATTCTTTCATTTTCTCTAACTTTATGCAAGTGTGCAAAATTTCAGATCGATATGATAAGTAGAAGTGTGTTAAATTTCGATTATAAGATTTGTAGCAGACAGACAAACAGACAAACATGAAGTGAAGATAAAGAGAAGTGTTGTAATAGAGCGACAATATCACAAAATACGGAGAGCTAAATCCTACTCACACCTCACAGAAAAGAAAAACTTTCTGAAATTCACATGAGACTGAATTTTCCTTTAATTCCGGATTGAACAAATCGTCTTAAAGGAATACCCGATCCACATCAAAGTTAGCGGTATCGTCGGTTCATAAACGCACTGATGTTCGCAAATAATAATATAAATCAGTAATTTAAGTATATAAACATATTCATTTTATACACAGAGAAATGAGTGATATGTTTTACAAATAGAGATGAACTTTTTTGCCATGTAGCGGTCATCCTAACCCAGTTTGTCCCGGCAAATTAGCGTATTAGTGCTACATGCAAAATGTCTCTCAATATTTAGACTATCTAACCCACTATTTTTAATTTTTAGCCGATCCAACCCAGTCATTTATGCTAGTGATGAGTTATGAGTTCAAAAGAGGTCAGAAAGTAACAAGGGACTTTGTATGTCTCTCACTATTATATATATAGACTATCTAACCCACTATTTTTAATTTTTAGCCGATCTAACCCAGTCATTTTTGCTAGTGATGAGTTAAAGTTTTCAAAAGAGGTCTGAAAGTAACAAGGGACTTTGTATGTCTCTCACTATTATATATTTAGACTATCTAACCCCCCACTATTTTTAATTTCTAGCCGATCTAACACAGTCATTTTTGCTAGTGATGAGTTATAGTTGTTCAGAAGAGGCCAGAAAGTAACAAGGGACGTTGTATGTCTCTCACTATTATTTAGCCGATCTAACCCAGTCATTTATGCTAGTGATGAGTTATAGTTGTTCAAAAGAGGTCAGAAAGTAACAAGGGACGTTGTATGTCTCTCACTATTAACGATCCACATCAAAGTTAGCGGTATCGTCGGTTCATAAACGCACTGATGTTCGCAAATAATAATATAAATCAGTAATTCAAGTAAATAAACATATTCATTTTACACACAGAGAAATGAGTGATATGTTTTACAAATAGAGATGAACTTTTTTGCCATGTAACGACAATCCTAACCCAGTTTGTCCCGGCAAATTAGCGTATTAGTGCTACATGCAAAATGTCTCTCACTATTTAGACTATCTAACCCACTAGGTATTTTTATTTTTTAGCCGATCTAACCCAGTCATTTTTGCTAGTGATGAGTTATGGTTAATCAAACGAGGTCAGAAAGTAACAAGAGACCTTGTATGTCTCTCACTATTATTTAGACTATCTAACCCACTATTTTTCACATTTAGCCGATCTAGCCCAGTCATTTTTGCTAGTGATGAGTTATGGTTAATCAAAAGAGGTCAGAAAATAACAAGGGACGTTGTATATCTCTCACTATTATACATATTTAGACTCTCTAACCCACTATTTTTAACTTATAGACGATCTAACCCAGTCATTTTTGCTAGTGATGAGTTATAGTTGTTCAAAAGAGGCTAGATGTACCAAGGGACTTTGTATGTCTCTCACTATTATTTCTACTATATAACCCACTATTTTTAACTTTTAGCCGATCTAACCCAGTCATTTTTGCTAGTGATGAGTTATAGTTGTTCAAAAGAGGCCAGAAAGTAAGAAGGGACGTTGTATGTCTCTCACTATTATTTAGCCGATCTAGCCCAGTCATTTTTGCTAGTGATGAGTTATATATAGTAGTTCAAAATAGGTCAGAAAGTAACAAGGGACGTTGTAATGTGATAGACTGCAGGTAGCTGTGCCAGGTCAGTCAGTGACACGCCAAAGGATTGTTGACGAACTTGACTCTCAACAAAACCCAGGAGGCCACCGCGCAGGACAGGCCGTTGCCCTCAACGATGGATTTCAGCATGAATTTTATTGTTTTTGGCGAGGTTATGATAGCGTAAAAATTTTGAGACTTGAGTATAATTCGACTTTCGAGTTATTTTATTTTATTGTATAATTCGACTTTCGTTTTCACTTGATAGCGCGAAAATTTTGAGACTAAATTATATATTTCGACTTTCGGTTTTATTTTATTTTATTGTATAATTCGACTTTCATTTTCACTTAATAGCGCGAAAATTTTGAGACGCGGATAATTCGACTTTCGTTTTCACGTAGAGTCGTAGAGATATAATAATGATGATGTTTGATTCTATTATCGTTTCCAGAAAGCTGATTTAATTATATTATATCATTTGAGATGCTTATTCAATGCTAATAAGTGATGGAGTCATGATGGACTGACATGGAGTCATGATGTACTGACATGGAGTCCTGTCTCTTATACACATCTAGATGTGTATAAGAGACAGGACATGGAATCATGATGGACTGACATGGAGCCATGATGGACTGACATGGAGTCATGATGAACTGACATGGAGGCATGATTGGACATATATACGGAGAAATTAATTATATTAAATATCATGAAACTACGCAGTATCTCCATTGACGGCAGTAATTATGGAGAGAAATTATTTTATATATAATTCGTAGCTACAAATTTATGAAATAACGCGGAAACCGATACTGACGCAGGATTTTAGATCTATTATAGTGTTTGACGAGCTTAAAATGTTATATTCGTCGTTAATTTAAACTTAAATGTTAATAAAGAATTAATGTTTTAAACTCTAGTTTAACATCTATACTCAAATATTGCATTACATTCGAGAACCAATTTTGCAAGAAAGCATTGTAGCTGTCTACTCATTTTGGTGATTTTGATAAGACTTTGGCTCAAGACTTCGTTACTGAATGGTTCATGTAAGAAATGTTTTAGAATTAGGAATTCGTTTAGAATTAGAATTCATTAGAATTCGTTTAGAATTAGGGCCATATGAGCAAGACTGAAAAAAACATCAATCGAATAGCTGAGCGAGACTTTGGCCGAATAACGATATACTTCATGGCCTTGTATAGATCAGGGCCTATACTTTCAAAAAAAATTAAGAGACCGTAAGTTCATCAGCCAATCATTAACGGCCTTTCAAGCAAAATCCACCAATCGTAGACAAGAAAATAGAGCGTAAGTACTTACGTTCACTTAGCGAATTTTGAAAGTATGGCCCCAGGCTGCTCAATTTTGGATGCACTGCTCAATGATCTATCAGTGCTACCGTCCGTTCTCTCCTCGTGCTGAGGGTGAAAGTGTGTCATAACACGGACAATATGACGAATTCATTTTTCTGGGTGATGGTGAACTGAAAATGATGAAAAAATGGATCGACAAAACAAATTCACTACTTGAGAGCTCGTCCTTGAAGCGAAATAACTTAAATATTAGTATTATTAAAGCTTTGCTTGTAATTATATTCCAATATAGAAGCTTCAAAGCGGACACATATAAATTTCAGCATACAATTCGCAATGAAGTGAACTGGATAAGTTAGATGTCTGAGCTGTAGAAACAATCGATGGTATATAGCTGAGCTGTAGAAACAATCTCAGTCATCGATTATATGTTCGATAATTGAGCTGTAGAAGCAATCGATGGTATATAGCTGAGCTGTAGAAACAATCTCAGTCATCGATTATATGTTCGATAATTGAGCTGTAGAAACAATCGATGGTATATAGCTGAGCAGTAGAAACAATCTTAGCCATCAATTATATGTTCGATGTCTGAGCTGTAGAAACAATCGATGGTATATAGCTGAGTTGTAGAAACAATCTTAGCTATCAATTATATGTTCGATGTCTGAGCTGTATAGAAACAATCGATGGTATTTAGAACATGAGAATAATAATCGATGAGAAACAATCTCAGCCATTGCTTATAAGTTCGATGTCTGAGCTGTAGAAACAATCGATGGTATATAGCTGAGCTGTAGAAATAATCTTAGCCATCGATTATATGTTCGATAATTGAGCTGTAGAAACAATCGATGGTATATAGCTGAGCTGTAGAAATAATCTTAGCTATCAATTATATGTTCGATGACTGAGCTGTAGAAACAATCTATGGTATATAGCTGAGCTGTAGAAACAATCTCAGCCATCGATTATGTGTTCGATGTCTGAGCTGTAGAAACAATCTATGGTATATAGCTGAGCTGTAGAAACAATCTCAGCCATCGCTTATAAGTTCGATGTTTGAGCTGTAGAAACAATCGATGGTATATAGCTGAGCTATAGAAATAATCTCAGCCATCGATTACATTTTCGATGTCTGAGCTGTAGAAACAGTCAATGGTATATAGCTG